ATTTACGTAGAGATGAGGATTCAACACCCCATATATATATATATATATATATTGATGTTTAATGTTAGATATTTAAATACATAAGATTTTAATGGTATGCATGTAAATCTTTCTAAGAAATATATATAAAAAAAAAATATCTAATAATTAGATTTGAATTAAATAAAATTGTGCTGAATAATAAATTTTAAATTTGAAATAATTTACATACATAAACATTTGTTATTAATTAAATTAATTCAAATTTAAATTTTATTATTCAGCACAATTTTATTTAATTCAAATCAAATTATTAAATTAGTTTTTTTTATATATATTTCTTAGAAAGATTTACATGCATACCATTAAAATCTTATGTATTTAAATTAGTAAAAATAAAAAGGAAAATTTGCATACATACTACCACTCATTTCTTACATCTTTGCATATCTAACTTCAAAATTTCAATTTTTACATAGATACTACACACCTTATTTTTACATAAAAAGATGCATTTTATTTTTTAGAAATTACAAAAATGGTATTTATTAGTGATATGAAAGTCTTGAATGGTATAAATGTAAAAAAGTAAAGTTTAGATATTAGATATGCAAGTACGTAAAAATTGATTGGTATGTAAGTTAAAAAATTAAACCATGACAGAAGAGTGAACCAAATTCAGTAGAGTGGTCTGAAACCAAGACAATTAATTTGAGCTAAAGAATAAGAGTGGAGGCAAGCAAGGAGTTTCATCATCACCCCAAGAGTGTCAAACTGTTGATTTCAAATTTGTTCGTGAGTCACACTCAAGAATTAAGAGATGATAGAAGGCATTAGTTTAGGATGGGCTTGTCATGATGGCTTTGCCTTGGGTTTGAGTTGGTTCTAATGGGTTTAAAGTCATCTTTGGTTGATTTTAGGTGTGGCTTGAATTTGTATGGATGATATTAATTTGTCATGTTTAATTATGGGTATGAATCATGGGTTTAGGGTTTGGTCACTTGGGTACTTGGGTTTGGATTTGACTTATCATAAGGTGGCTAGGCTTTGGCTTGAGTTGACTTGTCATGAAGGGGACATTTGGCTTAGATTTGGCTTGCATTGAGGTTTGGTGGCTTATCATGAAGTGGACTTGGCCAGACTGCTTGGCTCATGATGAGCTTAAGTTTGGGTTCACTTGGGTGCGGTTTGGATGAGGTGGATTTAAGGATGGGTTGATTTTTGGTGCAAAAATGAGTTTAGGTGATTTTAAGATGTGTGTAAAGTGTTTATTTTATTTTTGGATTTTGGGATTTTCATTTAAAGTTGGTGATTTTAATTTGAGTCAACTTTGATTTTAAATTTACTAATTTTGTACTTGTCATTTTAGGTTTTAATGAGAATTTTGGTGACTTTAGTTTGGTTTAGTTTTGCAGTAATTCTCATGATTTTCGTGATTTTTGGATTTTGATTTAAATTAATTTAAATTATTTTGAATTTGGAGAATTTGTTCTTGTTGGGTTTTAATTTTGATTGATATTTGATTTTTTTTATAATTTTAGTATATTTGATTATATTTGCTTTTTAATTTTGAATTTTATTTTAGGTTCACTTGATGATTTTATTTAAACTTGATTTTCCTTGATTTTGATTTCACTTGGCAATATTAATTTGTGATTTAATTTTATTGAATTTGATTTTGATTTGGTTTAAATTTTATGATTTTAATTTGATTTCAATTTGATAGCTTTAGTGAGTTTTGTTTTTTTTATTTTGATTTTGGTTAAAGTGTCATTCAGTTCAGTGAATTTTGCCTTTTAACTTTGATTTCAATTTTGATAGATCTGACTTCAATGTGTGACTTTGACTTCAAGATCGTGGTTTTGTTGAATTTGTTTTTTGATATTTCAATTTTGATTCTGTTGAATTTCATTTTCAATTGGTGATTTTCACTTTGTTTGCTCTTTTATTAAAAGATACATATTGTATTGTTAAAGACGAGTTTCATGCCCAATGCGCTCCTTATGAACCAAAGAGAGAGTTATCCAAGGAATTATGAGAGAGAAGTGCAAAGTGTCCAAAAAAAAGACTAAGTAAATGACCTAAGTTTCTAGAGTCAAAGGGTAGCTTAAGGCATTTCCAAGCCTATTGGGACTAAACTTGAGCTCCAATAATTTGACTTTAATCAATTTAACCAAAGGCTAAAAAATTGAAGTCAAGTGTATGAAATTATAAAGAGTGAAGATTTGGTTTGAAAGTCTTAACTTGGTGTTAGTTCCATTACTAATTCTCTATAAAAAATTACTAAGGAAATCCTAAAGTTAGATCCTAAGTCTCAGATAGACAATACAATATAGACCTCATGTAAAAAGGAGATCAACAAATTACTTCTGGTAAGTTTTTAAACTAAGTAATCTTTTTTTTTTTTTGTGCATTATTTTTCGACTTTTTGTGACAATATCATTAGCAGCTAAGACAATCAAATTACCTCTTTACTGGCATGTCTTCGTACATCAACGATCTTCTGGAACGAATGTTACGTGTGATATCCACTTGCATGGATATCGGTAGTATTTTGGTGTTATTGTGAAAATTACGTAATTCACCCTTACCTCTAATGAGAGATGCAGACATCAATATCAGTCCATGGGCTGCCGCTGACGGTGATCAATTGAATTTAAAATTATAAAAATCTGATATTTATATTTATAATATTTGGTAT